AGAGTCATAGCAAGACCATCTCGTCATGATGGTGAATAACTTTTATGAACATGGAATTTTGTGTAAGCTTGGTAGCCTTGCGCACCTCACGCATGACCTTTCATAACAGGTTTTCGTCGGTGACAAAATCTGGGCGCAGTAACAAGTTAAATCCAGTGACACGACTCAAATATACTTTTAGACTATCGTGGCGGAGTAGCTGTCTTCAGGCTGCGCTGATCGTTTTGGTTTTGGTCCGTTAATCTGAAGATTTTTTTACGTTATATTTTCTTCCGCAACCTTCCACTTTAAACTATTTTTTAGCTCTTTAAATTAATGGAAAATATCATTTCGATAAATCATTTTCAACCTTTAATTTCAATCCAGTGCGTCTTTGCGACCGAAAATTTATCCGGAAGATGCATTTTTTATTGTAAGTAGTTCTGCCTGTGCTTTTAAAGAAATAGTGATGAATTGCCATAGTTTTGGCGTATTTTTGATGAAATGTTCAAAGATATTAGCCTCTGACTGACCTCTGAGAAATGAGTTTCTGGAGCCAGTCGAAACTACTAATTGTTGGTTTGTTTTTGGTTATTTCGTTTTTAAGATAATCAAAGAAAGTAGAGTGACCCTGCTATACATTAATCAATAATTTTCGTAGTGTCTGTTTTTTAGCATATCCTTTGTTAATCTTCTTTAATCCTCGACCTATGGCCATTCATAGATTATAAGACTTGATGATTTAGGTAAAAATATGCAAGTAAACATTCCGCCAGATAGTCAGCCTAAGGCATTGATTGCCCTTTACGAGGTTCCGGGTTCTTCTGCTTCGCAATTGCCTGCTGATCAGTCGAATCATTGCAATGTTTCAAATGAAGCTGTCGCCTGCTATGGCGATCTCGGTTCGCAGGTGTTGCCTCAGAAGGCATCTTCTCCAACTGCTGCCGTTTCGGTTCCGAATACTTTGTGCCCCGAGGATGTTGCAAGATGTTCAACTTCTCCAGAAACATGGACGACAAACTCCGTACAGCCATCACTACTCTATGCAGCTGCTGATAGCGAAACTATGGCAAGTTTAACGTTTTTCTTATTATGTTGTAAACGGTATATGAGAAACAGCACAAATACGGTTTAGTTAACTGTCGGCCGATAGACCACTATCATCAATTCGTCTCGTATCTCTCAAACATCCAGGATAATGTTTATGCTTTTTGGTTTTGTTTTTTGCCATTGTCCCCATTAATATTGTATGTGAAGTTACAAGATAAGTATTGACATGCCCTGAAATAGATCTGTGAGACACCTACTTAACCGTAGGCTCCTTCATCTCGTGGTAAAGCGTGTTGTCTTGAATAAATTCTGTTATATTTTTTTAGCATTTTTCGATTGACACATGAAACATACTGTTCACTATATGTTTAATGAATTAAGGTGGCTGCGTTGGCGCTAGTCTTTGCTAATCTGAATACATTTTTTTGTTCACCAAGCTATATTTCGTATTCGTTGTTGTAAATTGTTTTCTTTTTTGACGTTTTCCTTTCTTAAGATAAGTGTCAGCGGCGAATCCGAAACAATTGGGGCAACTGTCGACGTCACAACGACAGAAACATTGATGACTAGCAAAGTCAAGCCAAAAGGAAAACGGATATCGGCGCATTCTGAAAGAAAGAAAAGCAAGGAGGTGAAAGCAGCTTCAAAACCCGTAGCCGATTCCACTGCAGACTCTTCCTCTGTTGCGGAATCTGAGTCGTTGTTGGAACTCAGATCAACCAGCGTTGACAGCTCATTGGTGACGAATCTCGTCAGCGGCGACCAGGCTGATGTGTTTTCTGCCGAAGCTTCTGTAGCCACGTGTGAGCGCTATAGCAGTCGCGCCAAAGAAAAGTCGAAGAAATCAGCTGTACCATTCAAGTAAAGCTTTTGATACATGATATCTTTTAGTTTGCCTTTCGCTAAAGCGGTTTCTTGTGTGCAATGGTAACATGAATAGTGTTGGAAACGATGAAAGGCTGCAAGAAAATGATTCAGTGATTCATTTTTTAGTCTCATGCGAAAGTCCATGAATTATTTGACGTCCTAAGCAAAAGAGTGTGAAACATGTACCAGAAAAATTGAGAAGTCCTGTGTCACTTGTTTTGTGATAAATTGAATGAATGTTACCAGATGGACAGGTTCTCGAAGTAAGGAAGAATCTCTTCTGGCGAAGCTGTTTTCATCGAGTTTGTTGATGAGCTTTCGCTCTGCACGTAAGAGACAAATACCCACCCAGTACCAACAGATTTTGAGAGAAGAAATTTCTATATATCGTGAGCCCAAATTGTATGCATAGAGATGACTTTAAAAGGAGTACCCCAGTTAGTTAAATTTTGAGGAAGACAGTTGCCTTTATTTGTAGGTTCTATACGGATTGCGGGTGAGAGGCAGACATACTTTAGCAAAAAAGTGAAAAAACCTCGTTGGACAGGTCGTCGTTTATGACCATGAGTCGAGCAACGCTTTAGCCCTCTGGAATCAAATTTCATTGCTTACTGCGCCGCCCCCTTGTTTTGGTTTTCCTTTAGTCAGGCCTAGACCCCCTGGTTTTTCAGTATCCGCAGTGCTTTAACTCGCATGATTCGCATGTTTTCCTAATGCAATCACCTCATCATGAACGACAGTTCAGGATGTTACTTCATGTATCCAAGTCTATAACTATAATGATGGATTCGATGAGTTATGCCTGAGTTTGTTAATTGGCACGCATGACTCTTTGAGGATTGAAGGCCTGATTTCTTCGCGTGCTGCAACGCCCTCTGGTTTCAAGATGCTGATAAAACCATTTAAGCAGGCTTCAGTTCAGTGGTACTTCAGGACCTTCAATGCCAGATGTTTTTCCTATCATCTTATTGGCTTCAGCATAGTTTGGACATTATCTTCGATGTTGCAAGTCTTTCAAGACAAAATTAATATCGTCACCATTGACGCAGGATACAACGAAAACTGGGTCTTAGCGTTG